ATCTTTTATTCTTCTAGCCGCTCCAGGCTGGTCTGCTCATCCTTTCAAGTGGAAATTTCTCATCTCTGGAGATCTGGATGTGGCAATATACTTTTGTTGCTCATTAAAAATCCCTTTATTGTCTAATTTGATTCTTGAATATTGCTATTTCAGGCAAATATTTATGCACTTTGTCTCCATGTGCTACAAATACAGCTGTCATAGAGCTCACATTTTAGTAGGACAAACAATGGCTCATCGGTACATAAACGCACATCTCAAACATGGGGAATGTTGAAGAAACGAAAAAATTGGGTGGAAGGGCTACTTTTGACAGGGTGGTCTATCTAGGAAATTTCTCTTGAAGAGGACATTTTGGTTGAAAAAGGAGTTTTTCATTTGTCAATCTAGGGGAAGAGTATTCTGAGCAATCAGTAAGCATGCAAAATCCTAAAGCAGAAATGAGCTTTGGGACCCAGGAACAGAAGAGCCAGTGGAGCTGTAGTGAAATCAATAAGGGATAGAAGAAATCAGAACAATAGACGCAGAGAGTAGGCGGGGTTTTTACTTAAAGCAAGAAGTTGGGTTTATTTGGTCTGCCACAGGAATGTCACAGCCAATTTTGATTGCAGTGAGGTGATGGGCTGGAGGCAGTAGACAGTGGAAGCAAGGAGATAGCAGTTAGGAGGCTGTAGCCTGGCCAGGAATGATAGGGGCTTGGATTGGGCGGTCTGAGTGGGCAGGAATGGACTGGACAGAAATAATGGTAGTCAGGATATATCTGAGGTAGAACTCACAGGTTGCTGGCAAATGGGACATGAGGGTGGCTAGGTTTGTTACCTTCTAGTGAGAGATGAGGAGACTCTTGCATAATGGCCAAATCAAGTCCCAACAGACCTTTTATTCTCCACTCCTACTTTGGAAGCAGGAAGTCTGAGGAGGTCTGCCCAGAGAACAAAGGGGTTCTAGACTGTGGCAACTTAGACGAAAGGGTTTGAAGTGAACTCTATTAAGTGCTATAGAGTTGGTTCTGACTCATAGTGACCCTATATAGGGTTTCCTGGTGAGTCTGAAAAGCCAACCTTGCAGTTCAAGTGCTTATCCTACAGCGGGGGACTGAAAAGAGATTTCCTGCAGCTCAGTGGGGTCTGATTGTTGTTCCTGTCACAACAGTGCCATTCAGTGGTTTGGAGTGAAATTGCAGGAGTCAGACTTCACAAGTAACCTCTCTCTTTTCCTGTCATCTTAGGTCTTTAAATGGACAGGAAACAACTCTTTCTTTGTGAAAGGAAACTTGGATTCACTGATGATAGGCAGTGGCAGGTACGTGTCTCAGGCCTCCCTTGGGTGGTCTTTGTTCTGGTCCCTTCCCCTCTCTTGACCTGCTGGGTGAGGCTCCTCAGGCAAAATGGGGAAGTTAGTGGTTAACTTGTAAGTCCCTCCTTTCAACACCCCCACTGCTCCACCCAACCCCTCAGCCTTGCTCTAAGGACAGCTTACACTTTCCTACTAGTTTTTACAATTGGTGAACTTAGTCTGAAACTATGTAAATCTGGGAAAGGAATTCCTCAAGTTTGGGTGAGGCTAGAGAGTACTGGAATAGCTTCAAGTTTACCAGGCAGCTCTGCAACGCACAAGTCAAGGAGGAAGGCAGACATCTGCCCAGGAACCCTGCCATTGTGTGTGCAAGTGGGCGAGGAGTGGGTTAGGAAGAAAAGATCAGTCTGACCCTAGTGTGACCTTCAAATTCGGGGAGAATAAGTCTTTCAGGAGGTGAAGATGAAAGCATTGCTTGATTAGTACCAGGCAAATGCTTTGCTTTCCCAACTGCTAGGAAAGCACAGGGTGAGTCAGCTTGCTGAGTTGCAGTAATCTACCTCCTGGCTCCAGTCTAGGTTGTCTATCAAATGAGGGTTTTAGAATGAAGGTTCTCTGAAGTGTTTGGGGCTCTCAGTCTACACTTAGGAGGCTCATTCCTCTGGTCAAGCATTGCCATCTTAAAATTGTTCCAAAATTGGACTTTGGTGGTTTGAACCACTGTATATATTTGCTAAAATCAGTTAAAAACAACAACAACACAAAAAAACTAAACCCTAAACCCGGTGGGGAACACCATGCTGAGTCCCCAACAATTCAGGCAGGATGAGTCAGCTGAAACAAGTCAAAGTAGACTGCAGAGTCTAGATCTGAAAGACCTCAGCACCTAGGAGTGAGCCATGACAAGATTTTCCTCTTCTCAGTGGCCAGTTTGGGCTGTGGATGGATGGAGACTTGTATCATGGGGGAAGTCACCCCTGTGCGACCTTCGACAATGAGGTGCTCGCCCGACAGGAGCAGTTCTGCATCAAGGAGTTGGAGGCCTGGGTCCTGAACTGATGCCTTGAGGGTGAGGCAGCTCTGGTTCTAACAGGTATTGGACCTGCTCATGGAAGCCCTCTAGGCCCACCTCACACAGGCAGCCTGGGCAGCCCATTCTGTCCAGAACACGTATGTTGAAGCATCCTAGCACTGACTGTGGCTGTGTGCCAGCTTCATCGTGCCTGAGGACACAAACCTGGAATGGAGGCTGGCATCTCTATCTGAGAGGTGACACTCAAGGGGTTGAAGGTACTCACACCTCACCCAAGAGGTACAAAACCCCTCATGACAAATTATTTGAGAACTGATACAATTAATCCATGCTTATTGTAGAAGAGGAGCTCTGATACCGTAGTGGTTACGAATCAGGCCGCTAACCATAAGGTTGGCAGTTCAAAACTACCAGCCGATCCGCAGGAGAAAGATGAGGCTTTCTGCTCCCATAAAGATTTACAGCCTTGGAAACCCTGTGCCGGGTCACTATGAGTCGGAACTGACTCCACAATACTTAACAACAATTGTAGAAGACATAAAAAGTCCAATAAAATTACCTAAATTTTTATCACCTCCCCCCACCAAAAAAACCCCACCCAGTAACCTTTTCAAGTATGTCCTTCCAGACAATTCCCAATGGATATATAAAATGGGAGTCTACTTGCTACGTGATTTGGAAACTATTTTAGCTTAGAATATTGTCAAACCACAGAAAGGTACCTGGGCTCAACCACACTAATAAAGACTCTCTGAGCATCATTCCTTCTCTTGTAGTTGTGTTTTCTAAGACACAGAGGTTTTCTGTGGCCCATTAGTATACCAGGTGATTACAAGTCCATGATCTCATTTAAGTTTGTGAGGAAGCTGTGAAAGCAGCAAATGAGCAATGTGTGTATCTGGATAAGAAAATTGAAATCTCTGTAGATAAGAACTTCAGGGAGCTTAAAAGGAAGATGTATGTTTCTTGGCACAAATGGAGTTCAATAAACAAAGTCCCTATGCAAATGTCGGCATCCTTCCAGAAGGAAAGGCTTCTTTATTATAACATCACTTGGTAGCTATTGAACAAGGAAAACTGAATACCATGAGTCTGGATAAATACTATTTCCTCTTGCAGCCCAACATAGTTTTGAGGTCCTGAGAAGCACAAGGGTGAATTCCTACACATTCATTTCCTTTGCACAAAAGGGTCAAAAACTGGGTACAAGATAAAGTGTGAAAGAGGCACACTTTCTTGGATTCAAGATGGAGAAATGAAGGTAAGTCAAAAAGTACTGCTATAAAATCATAGCAACCTTTGCTAAACAAAATATAAAAATGTGAAGCTACTTTTTTTTGACATATCCTCCATCTAGGTCAACACACTTCTGAATTAACTGTCACCATCTCTGTAACCATTCCCTAGAGAATGACGCACATTCATTTACATCACATCAAGAAGCTAGTTCTTGCTACTCTAGAACAAGCAGGTGAATTGGTGTGCAACTTTCCTGACCTTTTTTTTTTTTTAAATAAATGTTTTATTGTGAATTGTGTGATAGTCCACATGGGAGAACATTAGTTTTACATTCATTCTATCATCTATCGTTTCATTGGCATAGTTACCATCCCATCCATGCATCCTCACCCAACCAAAGGATGTACCCTGTAAACCTGCAGCCCCCCACCAGTCCTCAGCCCCTTTCCCTCTCTGGATCCCAAGTCCCCAGCCACACTATCTCTTGATGTCATCTTCTCTGCCTTCATCTCAGGCCTCACTGCTTCTCTGGGTAGGATCCCACTCTCTGCTTTTCTCCATTGATGGTCCCAGGGTCCTCTGCTCCTACACTGAAAAATTAATCACTCCCCTCCTTGCTACAAAATGTCCACCTTTACATTTCCAATCCTCACAATCAGTCCTGATAACAATTATTCACTATTGTATCACAAGAGACCCATCTGTATTTCGTTTTATCAGCCCTTCCTGGACAGGCTGGATACTATTCACTGGAGACTCTACCTTCCTCCACGCCCTTTGGATCTAGGTTCCCTCTTGAAAGCTTGTAAGCCAGTCACTTCTTACCTTTGTATCCCTCCCCCCATTTTGGGTAGCCAATGTCCAAGTTGCCCATCCCTGTCTACTCTTTGTGTGGAGGGGGTGGGAATAGTTCTTGTAGCAGGGATTTGTTTCCTCTTTTGAGCTACTGCTTTTATAAGTGTAGGTCATGTTTACTGAATTGTATCAGATGACGCTTTTTTCCTCTTCTTTATTCTTCTGGTTAAGCTATGTTTATCCAGTCATTGAAGCCAGGTCAAGTGGGTATCATCTGAGAGTGTGGGTGTTCTTGTGTCTGTCTGCCCTCTTTTTATCAGCTGGCCCCCCCGCTCTCCATTCTAGCCCTCTGTGGCTGTGTCATTGACTCTGAGCCCATGAGTCCCCAGGTCTTGCCTTGCTGCTGACCAACCAGGTCTTCACCTGGGTTCACGGTAGTTTGCTGAACGATGTAGGGCTTAGCTCGCCACTTCATTGATGTTCTTCAGTCACTTCCCCTTCTGGGTGACATGCATGGTTGCCAATCAAAGCATGTATTTCCCTTGCGTCTTAGTCTTGGAAGAGAATTTGCACTGAGAGG